GCACAGGTACGATTTCAGGGTGACCAGTGACACCTGCTGGACTGTGGCTCCCCAGAACCCCAGGATCGCACAGGTACGATTTCAGGGTGACCAGCAACATCTGCTGGACTGTGGCTCCCCAGAACCTCAGGATTGCACAGGTACGATTTCAGGGTGACCAGCGACACCTGCTGGAGGGGGGCTCCCTAGAACCCCAAGAGATCGCACAGGTACGATTTCAGGGTGACCAGTGACACCTGCTGGACTGTGGCTCCCCAGAACCTCAGGATTGTACAGGTATAATTTCAGGGTGACCAGTCAGTGAGACTTCCCCAGAACCCCAGGACACCCCAAGATTGCACAGGTATGATTTCAGCACCTGTGGGTGAGCATGTCGGCTTCTCTGCTCCTGTCCCTGCCGATAAGCCCACAAGGTGGCGCCACTGCGCTGTCGTGTCTGTGTACCTGCTGCGCGCCGGCCCCCCCGAGTCCCGGCTGTGCTGGGGTCTCACTGGGGCGCCGGCCCCCCCAGTCCCGGCTGTGCTGGGGTCTCACTGGGGCGCCGGCCCCCCCAGTCCCGGCCGTGCTGGGGTCTCACTGGGGCGCCGGCCCTGGGACTGAGGAGTATTTGTCCTTTAATCATGTTCAAACCGCAGCCTGGGCGCAAACCAGAGTTTCAGGGGAAGGTCGATCGGGTTTCAGGGTGAGTTTTCCCCCCAGACACAGTCCCGGCTCCCACCCTCCTGCGCTCACAGGACCGGCCTCGAGCTGCAGCGCTGACCGGATCTCCGTCCGTTTTCCTCCGCGTCACCCCCAGCTGTTTCCGGCGCGCCGCAGTGACGTGGCTGCGCCGCTCGGGCTGTGAGCCCGGGCAGGCGGGGCTCTGAGTCTGCGGGTCATCTCTCTCAATTCAGTTCAATTCAAGGTGCTTTATTAGCATGACCGATGGGTACAATCAGTGTTGCCAAAGCAAATAAAAATACTAAAATTAACATGGAACAAGACAAAAAATAGAAGTAAATAAAATCTACAGACATGTTACAGACATTTACAACAAAGACATATTATATAATATCGACATATACTCTCTCTCTCTCTTTAAATTATTATTTTCCGAGAGCCGAACACCGGGCGTTTCCTCCCCTGAAATGGGTCACCGATCCGGTTCTTTTCATTCCCCTGGCAGGGAAGTCGTCTGGCCACACGGTGGCGCCCGAGCACCGTGCGTTGGGACCCGTGTCTGGGCGACACTCCTCTGTGTTTCTCAACCGCAGGCGCTGTATCGGCACGGCCGCTGGGTACGAGCCGGGCCGCCACGGCACATTACAATAATAAAATTAACCGGAAATAAAATCTACAGACACATTACAGGCATTTACGGATCATAACGTTTGTACATCTGCTGTAAACACTGACGCTCGGCTCAGTCCAGTCCAGTTCAAGGCGCTTTACTGGCGTGAAGTCGGTACAGTCAGTGTTGCCGAAGCAAATAACAATAATGAAACAAACACGAAACAAAAAGTAAAATAAAATCTACAGACGTATTACAGGCATTTCCGACCGAGACCTCTCATAACATGTTGACATCCACCGTAAACTCGGCCGCCGGCCGGCTCTCTCGGCTCCCATGTCGTAGAAAGCCGAGACTCCAGGCGCGGCGCTGCGAACACCCTGCAGCCGCTGCAGCGCGGTGCGATGTCCGCACGGTGGCGCTCCCACACAGCCGCTTCGTGGCGTGTCCCGCTGGCCGTGTGGCGCCGCTTGTGCGCCAGAGATCGGTTCACAGCTCGCGGTCCGAGCTGTGTCGTTAACGGCCGCGTGGGGCCTTATTGGTGGGA